GCGGCAGAAGCTGAATTTGAGAAAATGAAGCACCCGTTTCCTTACATCCGTAAGTGTCTTTAAGTTTTTTTCTTCTGTTATCAGGCTTAAGAGTTATGTTCGAGGCTGCAATGAAAGTAATTCAGCCAATTCAGACATTGTTCGTGTACAGTCTTTCATAATTTTGGCTCATGGCTCGTGTACGACGACCTGACTGACATCATTATACCGCAGATGAAAAGAGTAATTGTAGCACAGAGGAACAGAGAGCCATGAGACATGAGCCATGAGCCAAAATTTTAGCTTACGCTTACATGATAGCTTATCTCTCGTAGACCCTGATAGCCCAGAGGGCAGCAAATGGGAGAGAAACATTCCTCCTCCTCCCCACGTAAGTATTTTTTATGAATTAATTTATGCAATGTTCAATACCCATATTGTTTTGGTCGTTTAGTTTGTAAGCAAACGTCCCATTATTGAGGTAATTATAAGTTGATTGAAGCTATTTTTCACAAATGGACCCTCAATAACTACAAGGTGAAGCAATCGCCGATGGAAGATATTAACAAAGTGAATATCTGACTATTAGTAAGGAATCTTTCATACAAATAGAGACAAACTTAAAAAACGGTGGGCCAATGCTTCAAATTTACTTGAATGCAATCTGTTTCAGTCTTCTCCAATTTTCCTTTTTGGCTTTTTTGTGTCTTTTTTTTTCTGAGTCCTGCTTCAAAGCTGTTGTAATTGTACAGTGGAACTCTGTTAATATGTTCATCAACGGGCCAGGAATATTTGGCCATATTAACGGGGTGGCCGTATTAATGGGGTAGGGTCAAATTTCATGACTGGTCTAAATTGAGTAATGTCTTATCAGGTATATCACAATAATTTCTACTGTATTAAAGGTTGTGTTCACACTTGGTGCCCTAGCAGTGGTACCTGAGCACTAGCACAAAATAGTGTTGCTTTCAGTCACTGGGTACTCCAAGTCCGGTAGTACCTTGCAGTGCCCGAGTACAAGGTCAGGACCTTGTACCCGGGCACAGGCACTGTGCTTGAATGCTGATGTGAATACTTAGAAAAAAGATATGTTCTCATTAGTGCCCAGCGAGAGTCGTACTCTGGCACTGTGCTTGGGCACTGTGCTTGGGCACTGCGCTCGGGCACCGTGCTCGGGCACCGTGCTCGGGCACTGTGCTCGGCCACCAAGTGTGAACATAGCCTTTACATGTAAGTTAACTCTATGACCAGTTGGTTAGTGCTAAAATTGCCTTAATTGCATGATCTAGCCCCTTTAAAACAACATGTTTACAGTAGTCGTCTGGCTAAGGACCCCTGTAAGGGTCTACAGGCTGGCTAGGAGCCTTATGTGTGAGGTTTAGGATCTGGTTTTGGCCTATGAGGCTTTGGACCTGCTCATGTTGATGAAATGCGGCCATCCTGTGTCTGGAAAACCATCTTTTATGCCTCACACTTGATGGACATGTTTTGGATACAAATCAGTTTTCTTTTCAATTTTTAGCTGCTTCATATGCTCCCATGGGAAGAAGAATGGCACAAAGAGATGACAGAGTGGGCAGAAGGCAAGGATTAGATCCTCTGAAAGTTGTCAGCAAAATAATGTTGTGTGAAAGAGTGCCACTCATCTTATCTGTGATTGTAAATTAAAGAGCAGCCATTATGGCATCTCTCTATCTTTGTATTCATGTCATAACATTCTACTGTGAAAATTATTTCTATTTGTCTTGGCATCAGATTGATGAAAGCTATGTAAAAGTAAATTAGCATGTTCAGATTGCTACAGTGTAAGGACTGTGATTAAAGAAGGTTTTTTCACCTAAATTTTGTGTTTCGTTGTTTGGAGTATGAGGGAAGGGTGTGTAGTGTTCTTTTGGCTTGGAGCTTGCTAAGGACGTGCTGTACTGTAGTATTTATCTACAGGTAAGTCAGCTGTCGGCTGTGTATTAAGAAGAGAACTTTCCTTTTAGCTTTCTAGTTCACGTTATGCGCAAAGCACTAGTTTTTGCTTTATCACACTTGCCTAGCAAATGCAAAAATATCTGTAAAGAACCGTCAATTGAAAAGAAGGCTTAGTTACGATTACAGCAAG